ACAAAGACAAAATAATGGATGGTATTATATATAATATAACAAGTGAGTCTTCTACAGCTAGCGCCGCTTCTCGCATCCTAATTTCCAGCGTTTTCTGTCGAAGCAATATTCAGTTGTTAGATCTCTGGCGGTCATTGCATCGTCGACATCGTCTCTCCAGGATCGTCTTGGTCTACCTCGTTTTCTTCTAGTTGGCAAAGTCCATTCTTCTATTTTTTTCGGCGATCCATTTTCATGAATTCTCTTAAGGTGTCCGTACCAGTTGAGTCCTTTGGCTTCGATTGTGTCTATTATGTCTAGATCGATTTCAGTTTGTCTCCAAATATCTTCCTTTTATCAAATTATCAAGTCTAGTGAGCTGGCAACATTGTCTCCAGTAGTTCATTTCCATGGCCTTAATTTTTTATTGGGTTCTTTGGTTTATTTCCCAGAGTTCGGCGCCGTACAGCACGAAGTATGAGTGCAACTACAGTCCTCGAAGACATACCGTCTCAGGACTAGCAACTTCAACGTGGAGTCATATGTCGCCATGTTACCTAATCCATCGGTAACTCTATAATCTTAAATCATTATAACATATTTTTAAAACTAAATGTAATTAAACATCTGTTACCGGGTTTTTACCCATATATTTAATCTTGGTGGCTACATTCATGTACTCCTAGACACTGATGATGGAACATGGTTTCCGAAAACGTTTTGTCTTTTTAACTTAGCCCGTTTGGGCCTTAAATATATACCTATTACAAAGGATTTTTAATTAAATTTTTAATACATGGTATACAGCCAACTACAGGAACGTAGATTCCTTGTGAATTTTATTAAGTTTTTTAATACCTCTACACAACATTGTCCTCTTACCGATAGACGAACATACCACCCACACCAAAAATCTCGAGATTATACATAGAGCTAAAAGTAGCAGTGTTATAATGCTATGCTTTTAACCGCATATTACATATCGCTTGCAATCCTCTGGACAGCAGTTTTATCTCCCCAGTAAGCACACGTCTGAAGTTCACAAATGGTTGTTGCAACATTAAGGTCAACCAATTACAATATACCAAATCGGCAAGCTCTTTAAAAGCGCATATATAAGAGCAGCTAGCATCCAAATAGCAATAACTTATTTTAGAAGAACAGGCATTCAATCCGGAAATCTTTGAAGACTGGATATTTTAGCCAGCGGCAACTACAATAAGTTTGATTAACAAGCTTGCACTTGGTACTTTCAAAGAAAACAATAAGCACTCTTTACCACATACAGTACTAGGTATACCGTCAATATCAAGCAAGCAGCCTTCAGAAAATATTGACGACTCTCAAGATGCCACCTGTGGCTTCTCTAATACCAAAAATGCTATAAGCTGCTTGCAGACAAAAAATTGTCGAATAAATCTACTCTATTTCTATTTTTATATCTCTATATCTCTATATCCTGCAGGAAATCTTATAAAAATGCATCCTCCTCTTTTACTTACGTTAACAAGAATTTTCAAGTACACTTGAGTTAAGTGAAGAAAGAAGAGGAACAATGGATATGCCAACTTAAACATTTTGAAGAAGCTGAAAAATAAACTACATATGGAAGAAAATTAAAAGTCGGAAATAACAAAGCAAACAATAAAAGTAAAGTGTGTCACTAACCAAACGAAAAACAACGAAAGAAAAGGGACATCAATTCAAAGTAGAAGGCAATGACGCAAGTTGAACTCTCCTCTAGTCGTCCTTGTCTTTGTGCGAAAATAATCTGGTCATTCACGAATTATAGTGTATTGTAATAATATATCTTTGCTCTACGAGCCTTTGTCCATTGTCTTTTGAGATATCGTGGAGGCTGTGTTGTGCTATTGTCGGTCTTAGGTTAGGTTCTTTGCTAATTTTTGCGTTGAAGTCTTAACAGATTATCTGCATCTCTTGTTTGGGGATTTTCTCAAGCGTTGTTTTGAGTTGTTCATGGAAGTAATCTTTAATATGTTCGCCTTTATCTTTTATCGGAGCATGTGCGGATATATTTGAAATATTGTTCCATTTTCCTTTCAATCTAATATAACAAATTCTTTTACTAATGGGTGTAAAAATTAATATAATGTTTCAGATATTTTTCTCGTACTATGAAACCTGTGCCAAATTCGTGTTTTTCTGTCTGGTTTCCACTGTAGAAAATGACCGCCTTGTCTATTTTTATGTTTCCCGTGTCTAGCCACCTTATTTCTGGTATTGTTGTTATGTCCATTACTACTTTTTCTAACTGTTTTATTGCATGTATAGATGCTCCCATCCGGTACCAACTTAGAATATTCCATATTCCAACATCCAAAGTCCTTCTCCATTGCGATTATCGTTTTCCATATGTATCTGTTCGATTTCGAGACAAACTTGCAGTTTTCATAACAGACTGTGTTTTATAAGGGCAGGTTGTTGGCCTTTCGCTTTAACCCTTCTATTTTATCCGGGTTTGGGACCTGGCAAGAAGGACTGTTAAGCTACTCGATTCACTCAAAAGTCCTTTCAGGCGGAGTTATCAAAAAACCTTAATATAGAACAAAAACCATATGAAACGGAATTTGAAATACGTGAATTAAAACTTTATACAAAGAGAAAGCGCCTCCAGGAGGGGTGTAGGGTTGTGTTATAGAGGTAGCACCTTTTATCAGAACGTCCATATTGAGCGTCATAGACGGGAGATGGTTCTTGATAACTGGTCCTCATAAGACACCTGTCTCCCACTTATAGCTCCACGTGCCACACCCCGGGCAATGGCATTGGTCTTCAAGCTAAACTAAGTGAGGGTAGCCAGATATGGCAAAAATTTCACCGATCGATTGCCAGTATAAGTAATCCCACATTTGCTAATCAACGGCTCCGGGCGGAAGAATTGGTAGGTGGTAGGGCACCCTTTTGTCCTGAGGCTGAGAAATCGACTTAGACGGTGGAGGAACCAATATATTGGTCAACGGCATAAGGATGTAGAAGGCAAGTTAAAACTACTACATTAAAGAGCATCATGGATATCCCTAGTAAAATCATCATGGTTTTAGAAACTAATAATGGCGTTACTGATCATGGCCCTCGGAAGCCAAGATCCGACAAGGGAGAAGAAGACAAGGACTCTTAGGTCGTTAATCAGCGAATTCCTTGTCAAAAGAACGTAGATGAAAAAATAAGACTGTCCAACACTAGAATAGGAACCTGGAATGTTCAGAGCATGTTTCAGTCTGGTAAAATGCACAATGTTATTCAAGAAATTAACAGGTTGAATATCGATGTACTGGGTATCAGTGAAGCCAGGTGGCCCAACTCAGGTTGTTTTTCAACAGACGAAGCCACAATATATTATTCCGGTAGCGAGAATAACCAACACAGACACGGCGTGGCAGTAATAGTTAATAAAAAATCTAATAGAGCGGTGGAATGCTATTTCCCTATCTCAGAAAGGGTAATGGTACTGAAGTTAGTGACATCTCATGCCAAACTGAATTTGATACAAGTTTATGCTCCTACGGCGAATGCCGACGAAGAAGAAGTAGAATTATTTTACCGAGATATCGAAGAGGCACTTAGAATAACGAAAACAAGAGAAATCACGATAGTCCTAGGTGATCTCAATGCAAAGATTGGAAAGGGACAAAGCGGAAAGTGTATAGGAAACTATGGTCTGGGAAATCGAAACGAGAGAGGAGACCGTCTGTTACAATTCTGTCAAGAGCAGAACTTTATTATTACAAACACATTTTTCAAGTTACCAAACAGACGACTGTATACATGGCGATCGCCCGCAGATACATCGGAGAAAGTAGTCAGGAACCAGATAGACTACATTATGATCAATGAAAGATACCGTAATGCTGTTAAAGCCGTGAAAGCATATCCTGGATCAGACGTGTCCTCAGATCACAATCCACTTATCGCCAAGATTACACTCACCCTTAAAAATATTAAAAGACATCAAAGAATCCCTACAATAGACACAAGAAAACTTAAAGAACCTAAAGTAAAAGAATGCCTTCAACATGAACTGCATGTAAACTGCACCAAATTGAACACAAACACCAATGATATTGACGAGTACTGGAATCGACTAAAACATTGTCTACTGGAACCCTGTAAAGAAATACTAAAGACTTCCGCAAGGAGAAAAGAAGAATGGATGAATGACGAGATACACAATATGATGGAACAACGGAGACAATTTAAAAAAAAAGACAACAATAAATACAGAGAGATAAACCACGAGATCAGGAAGATGATAAAGTAGGCAAAAGAAAAATACTTTGAAGACCAATGCAAAGATATCGAAGAACTTCAAAACAAATATGATCTGTTTAACCTACACAAGAAAGTTAAAGAACTGGCAGGACTAAGAAACCAAAATCCCACTAGGGCAATTCTGGATAGACACGGGACTACTATAACACATACGGACGAGAAAGTACAAAGATTGGCAGAATATATCGACGAATTGTTCGATGATGAAAGAGGAGATCTGGAGCACATAGAACTTACGTCAGAAGAAATAGGTCCATATATTACAAAAGAAGAAATATTACACGCATAGAAGAATATTAAAAATATCGTGGACAGAACACGTCAAAACAAAGAAGTTCTTGGAACAATAAATAAAGAGATGGAAATTTTAAACACAGTAAAAACAAGAAAATTAGAATATCTCGGACATAGTACACGTGGAGAGAAATACACCCTGCTCCAATTGAATATGCAGGGAAAGATACAAGGAAAGAGAAGCATATGAAGGCGTAGAATGGCATGGCTGCGCAACCTGAGAGAGTGGTGCGGATGTACACCAAATGAACTTTTCAGAGCAGCCGTCTCAAAAGTCCGAATATCTATGATGATCTCCGCCGCGGAGATGACACTTGAAGAAGAAGACAAAGAGGAAATTTAAAAATGCGGACCCAACAGTCGTTAAAATAGACAAATAACCAAGTGATAGAAGAAGGCAAATTTTATATATAAAATATATAAAAAAAAAACAATTTAGATCAATATATTTTATTAATGACAGTTTGTTTACAATTATAAACATTATTGTTGTAACTCCTTTTGTGGTTTGCTAAAATATCGTTTCAGTGATGTGGATATGTCTCCTCTCGAAGGTAAATGTTTTATATAGTTACGACGTACATCCAAATATTGTAAATTGGGTACTGTTCCATAAATAGGAACAAGGTCTTGTAGATTATTATCGTCTATATATAATACGTGTAAGTTAGGTAATTCTTTAAAAGTTGATTCATATAATTTATTGATTAGATTATTAGTTAACATTAAAGTTTCCAAAGTGTCAGACACTAAAAGAGGTCCTTCTTCTGGTACAAGTATTCTGTTCCCAGCTAAAAGAAGAGTTTTTATATTGGGTGCGTACTTAAATAGTTCTGTAGGTAAATTGGTAATGTGGTTAAAATTAAGATCCACCAACTGAAGATTTGGTAAAGATGATATGACATTCACTGGAAAACTCGTTAACTCTAGACTATTTGAGTAAAGAGTCTCAGCTGTTTGGGATGCATCAAAAAAAGATTTATATTGGTCCAGATTAGCATTTCCATCCACGTTACTCTTAAAACCAGTGACATCAACGCAGTAGATTCGGATTTCTGGTATTGTCTGGTGTTCGTCTGTTAAGTATGCTGTATTCTTTTCTGTGCATGGTTGACCTTCGGTAAAGTCACTGCGTACATATTTGGTTAATAGTAAAAGTCTGAAAAAAGTAAATGTATTATTTTTACTTTGTCCAAAATGTATTTAGTACACACTAATGAATAAAAAATAACACTTTTATTTCTGATGACCAGTAATTATAAAACATCATATATAGGTTATGTTCTTCCCTCTATAGTACCAAGTATATTTAAATAAAGTTTGTTTAGCAGTAAATGGTTGACTTTAATTAGTATCGACCATAAAAATCCTGGGTTAACCGATAATAGTATAAAAGGCTCGGTTTCAGGTAACAATGGTTTACCTGAGGGACCAGGTCTTAACAATGGACCAAGTCAGATAAATTTAATAATATTTATGACCACACTAATTGAAGTCAACCATTTTCTGCTAAACAATATTTTTCTGGCCTCTATTGATTTATATAGCTTTTAATTAAGAGTAAAATTTTTAAAGCATATTATAAAATACATGTCTGAATACGTGTCTTCTGCAGGTTTTAATATAACTTCCAAATAACGGTGATGCTGCTATTTGGAATTCCCCAAAAATGTAAACGTCGAACATGTTGTCCTATGACGTTATTAGGAGCACCACCCACTCCGATAAATTCGTTGTGAGGTGTTACGCATATAAAAATAGAAGCACAGTTTGATATTTATTTATGTAGAGTCTGTCAAATATAAAGGTGTATTCTGAGTTTCAATCTTTTACAAAAAAAAAACTAATATACATTGGCCAAATATTAAAGCCTTAATGATTATACCAACGATGATAGCATAACAGATCAAACTTGTATCTTCTACGGTAACTGTGTTTTTTTACATTTTGCAACATTTTGTATTAAATTATTGTTGGTAGATTCATCTACTCATGATAATCGAAGTGCCCATGGCGCAAGTTGAGTCACTTAGTGGATTCTTCTGATGACGAAGACCTACCACCACCTTTATCAAATCTAACAAATCATGTTTTCAGCCCAAATTATGCAAAATGATAAATCTGAAATGGATCAATTCAAAAAATATTCTTCCTAAATCCTACCTAGATTCTGAAACTCACGTGGAAACTCCCTTGCAATATTTTTTATAAATTACTTGATAAAGCTTATTAAGACACACACAGTGGTCAATCCTGCCCCTAAGAAACATGCTTATACCATTTTATATTGAAATCCATATGTCCGAAGATCAAACCGATCTCACTTCGTTCTTTAAGTGGTACCTATCTAACCCTCCAGGTTTTTCCTCTACGCCTTCTCAGTGTGTGACTTACGTGAGGAGGCTTATAATTTGAAAGTTACATTGGGTGCCCTGGGTAATGGAACACCCTCTGTTTTTATTGACTGTGGTTAAGCCACCTAACTGTAGGGGTAGCAAACATATCGGCTTTTCTTCCTATTTACTTTACTGACTCTATAGAAGTTACTCTAACTTGACGTCGGGACTTGAGTCCCTAAAAGAAAAAGAAAAGTGTCTGTTTCGTTCAGAAAGCCATCAACCTAAGTTGGTGACTCACTGACCGAAAAAATGTGAGTGCTCAGCCACTCAGCCGCCGATTTGGCAAAATAAATTTTGTTCTCGCCGGCTGAGCATCCGAGTGGAGCCATACATGGAGCACCGAGCCCATGTATGCAGCACATGACCTCAGTGCTCGGAGTTCGCGAATAGGTCTTCACCTAATCTACCTAAGGGACCTAGTCCGCTATTGCGGTTATGATAAAGGACCTGACGGACCTTTTATACATGTTTAGTTTATTAATATGTTGCCTCACCCGATGTCAGCAATTTCGCGATGACTTAGAGAGAAAGCATTTTTTTTATTTTGTTTTTTGGTTTTTTGTTTTTGTTTTTTTTTCCCAAAATTAACTAAAACTATCTTAACTTAAAAGTGTGTGTGAGGTGGGGTGTGCATTCCCAGGTGTATACGGCCCTCACACACCCTGTGTATATTGTACTTAAATCCTAACCTAACTAGTACCGCTGTAGGGGATTTGCTTCCTGTTGGTTTTACAGGTGTGTCCCTAAGCAGCAGAGGCATACGTTAGGACAGGCAAGATTATGCTCTTCGCAACTCAGATTTTGGTTTTAAATCTTAATTTGCTTTTTCTGTCTATAAGTGTTGACAGCTGACTATTTAGCGCTTTAGCTTTGTATGTGTCTTGGTTGACGTGCTCGGTAAATGTGAGCTTTTTGTCGAGTATCACCCCGAGGTATTTTGCTTGATTTGTCCTTTCTACTAGGGTGTCCTATCGTAGTTTCTGGGTTTGGTACACTTCTTCTGTGAGTAAACATTACTGCTTGTGTTTTGTCGGGATTTAAGGTGACTTTCCATTTAATATACCATCTTTGGAATTTATTTAGTACTCTCTGCAGATGATTAGCTGCATGATTCGGATCTCTCCAGCTGACAGCTATTGTTGTGTCGTCAGCATAAAGACTTAGCAGGGATCCTGGCTCTGTTGGCGTCTTGGTCGTATATATGGTGTACAGATAAGGCAACAATACCGCTCCCTCAGGCACAGCTGAGAGTTTCGACTTCGGACAGAGTTGCCCTATTCAAACTCTGAACCTTTTATTGTCTAGCTTTGACACAAGAAAGCATGTCATCACCTCGCTGTATCCCAGATTGCTCATTTTATAGAGGAGTCCTTGGTGCCAGATTCTGTCAAATGCATTACTGACGTCCAGGAGTGCTTTTGATATGTAAATTTTTTAGTTGTATTCTTTCGTTATGAATTATGTGAGTCTTAGTACCTGTAGTTCACAGAAGTGTACTCTTCTGAACACGAATTGAGCTTCCAAAATAGTGCCTGGCCTGTGATTCTTCGTCGAGTCTTTTCAGTATGACTTTTTCTGCCATTTTACGTTATAGACGATAATAAGCTTATGGGTCTATATTTTTGAGGAAATGTGACATTTTTTCCCTGGCAAATTTTCTGGCGCAGCTGGGGCAGGGCTGGTCGATTATCGTGGGCGCGGGAGTTGGGGCTGTCTCCTTATCCTCATCCGATTGTACGTATGTTCCATCGTCGCTGGCTTCATCGCAGTTAGAATTACATTCTTGGGAAGTTTCCTCGGTCAGATTAATTTTATTTAAAAAGCTATTGCGCCTAGGAGCTAGAGACTGAGGGGGTGGGTGACTGGCTGTCATTTTCTTCTGCTTCTTGTGATGACACGCAGGTGGTGACTCTGGGGAAGGAAAGTCACTAATTTTGCTTTACGGCCGTGAACAAAAGGTTGTTCGAAACAATGCAGGATTTTGTTACACAGAAGACTTTGTTTTTTTTCTCTCCGTCTGAGTGCTGCCAGACGGTTTTCCTGGGTGTTACCCAGACTTCTCTGTCGACACACTGCGATAAAACCGATTCTTCGCTATGCTCTGTCAGAGATAGTTTTCGAGAGAGGCCTATAAAGGCAGCCTCTCTACGGTTTAACTAAAACTAAACTAGCACACGCACTTCGCCTAGTTAGAATACAAATCTACCAGCATCACGCACGGTGTCTTACCCACCGCGAGCTGTAAAGCACTGTAACCTCAGGTTAGCTGCTCTCTCCTAAGCACACGTCCGCACTGATCGACTTTCGACTGACGCAGTCGAACTAAGCTAATTAGCTTGTTAAGATTATACAATAAATCAATTAAATATATGTTCGTTACACAAACGGACATATCTGCAAACTTTTCTATAAATTTCAATTATCCAGAACAGTTTTATGGTGCATGTTTCTGTATGTCCTGATATCGGTACCATACTAGAAGGTATTGAATTAGTGCATGAAGAGTGTAAGAAAATATTTAAAATATTATACATTAAATGTTATTATACACGAAAATTAATTAAAGGTAAGTTTATTTAATCTAATATGGATATACCTACACAGTTATTATAGACGCTTTTGAGACCAATAATTTAAAATAATTAATTTATACTATAAAAATAGTTAAAACAATAAATAAGATGCCTACAAAAATATAAAATAAACAATAATTGATGTAATCACAGTTAGAAATTAAATTAGTTTTAGTACCCGTAAAGCACCCACATGAAGTTGTATTTCATAACAATCTTGATAAAATCTGTTACGCAAAAGTGAGAAAAACCGCCAGTATAGAGAAGAAGGGGTTATCAAAATAAGCACTTGGAATCCAAAAATAATGTTTTTAGCGGTTAACACATACATCGTTCAAGAAATGAACAAACTAAAAATATATTTATTTATTTTGCCTATGTTATGGCTTACATAATAAAATGGATAAATAAATTTACATTTATACATTATACAAATTTAGAGTAGTAAAGACGTCCCCCATTACAAATAGGATCAGTAGGAAAATAAAGTATGGGAAGAATACCTAAAGAAACTTTTCCATGACCTTAGAACAGGGATGGCCAACCCGCGGCACGCGTGCCACTCTGTGGCACGATTGAGTCCTATCAGTGGCACGCGTAGCGTGCCACTGATAGGACTTTCAAACTGATCAAACTTTCAAAAAAATTAAAACTTGAAAAACAAAAAATAATAAGAAGAAACTTGGTAGGTTTACGGAAGTTACGATAGATGCGGCATCATTGCATCCTCTGGCGAGCGATATTGCTGCGATTGGTGCACGTGATCCTAGCTGTCGTAATGTGCAATAGGACTGCGTTACCCTTGCTTAGTTTATTTTAAACTGCCCGTTGTATGTGCACATTTTGTCATCGCGCATTGTTTCTTTAAAATTTTAAAAGTATTTGTTCGATATGTCCACGAGTAAGCCTTCGACTTCAAAACGAAAATACGAAGATGATATTGCAATTCGCGATTTTCAACCTGCTTGGGAAGAACAATTTTTATTTACTAATCGTAATACTTCAAAGCCTGTTTGTTTGATATGTGGATTGTCTGTAGCAGTTCCGAAAAAATTTAACCTGGAACGACATTATAAACAACTGCATAAGGACTTCAGCAACAAATATCCTATTGGTTCACATTTGCGAGCCGACTTTATTGAAAAAAAAAAGAAAACCCTAGCCAGCCAACAGTCACTGTTTCAGAAGAGAAGTGATGAAATGGAAAACTATGGTTAAAACATCATATGAACTTTCTCTGCTGTTAGCCCGGAAGAAAAAAGCCTACTCTGATGGAGAGGAGATAATTAAAAATAGTCTGGCAATATTTGCTAAAAATGTGGGAGATGTAAAGATCAAAAATATGGTCGATAATATTGCATTATCCCGAAATACAGTCATGCGCCGTATAGATGATATGGGCCAGGATGTTGTTTCCCAAATTATAAGTGGATTACAATCCTGCAAATTCTTTTCTTTAGCGTTGGATGAAAGTTGTGACAACACAGAAAATGCGCAGTTAAGCATTTTTGTCCGTTATACCAATGATAATTTTGAAAATGCCGAAGAGCTTCTGGATTTGCGCCAACTAGTCACAACAACAGGAGAGGACATTTTTCAACAGCTTAAAAACGTAATCGAAGTCAACAAGTTGAATGGTCAAATTAGATAGTGTTTGTACAGATGGAGCTCCTTGCATGGTTGGTAGACTAAAGGGTTTGTTACATTACTGGAAAACTATTTGGGAAGAAAAGTTTTTAAGTACCATTGTATTATTCACCAGGAAGCTCTTTGTGCCAAGGACCTAAACATGTCATCTGTTGTTGACCCTGTAACACGCTGCATTAACAAAATACGAGCTCGGGCATTGAATCGACGACAATTTCGAGAACTGTTCGCGGAAGAAACGGAGCAAGATGGAGAGTTACTTCTCCATTGCAGTGTGCGCTGGCTCTCCAAAGGAAATGCACTCGAAAGGTTTTGGAACTTGAAGGAGTGCGTCTTAAAATATTTGCAAGAAAACAATGAACTACCCAGTGAGTGCTCGTTACTTAATGATAAAGATTGGCTTTGGGATTTAGCTTTTCTCACTGATATTATGAGACATTTAAATCTATTAAATTTAAGATTACAGGGAAAAAATTGTATTTTTCCTACTCTAGTTGGTCATATATCTTCTTTTGTGAATAAACTTATGCTTTTTTGTAACGATTTTGGAGAACAGAGATTGACACATTTCACATTAATGCAGGAATTAGCCAACAAGGTCAGTAGAACTCCAAATTATGACAGATTTAAAAACCTTATATCTATTTTGCTAGGTTCATTCAATACCCGGTTTGAAGATTTTCAAAAAGACAAAATGAATGTTGACCTTTTCATAAATCCTTTTTCTATTTCTCTGCAAGATATCAATTGTTACTCAGCTGAAATACAGATCGAAATTATTGATTTACAGAACCACACTATACTAAAAACCAAATATAGGGAAATTATTTCAACTGTTACTGATCCCAATTATATTGAATTTTGGAAATTTGTACCAGCAAACAATTTTCCTAATTTACACGAGTTAGCTCTGAGATATTGTTGTAGATTTGGTTCAACGTACGTTTGTGAGCAAATGTTCTCTATTATGAACATAATAAAATCAAAATATCGGTCACGATTAACTGACATGCATTTAAAAAATCTAATTCTGTTGGCTAGTTCCGAAATTAATCCCAATATAGATGAATTAATTAAAAAAATACAAGTTCAAATACCACATTAAATAAGTAACTGTTTAATAATTTGAATTTTAGATAATAAGAAAATATTTAAGTTTTTTTGTTTAACGTTTTTATTTTATTTTTATTAACAATAAAGTAAGTTTGTTGTTATGTTTTACTTATTACGTTATTTTTTAAACCTCCACTATCTTGACTAAACGGAAAAATGTGGAATTTACATAAGAAATACATATTGTACCGTATATTATTAATATATAGTATCCATATTAGTATGTCGAAAAATTTTAGTGGCACGCCAAATTTTTTTTGTTCTCATATTGGCACTCGACTTAAAAATGTTGGCCACCCCTGCCTTAGAACAATACAAGATCCCACCATGGAAGCAAATTCAGCTACCGAAATTCTACCAGAAGAAATAACGGCAACCGTCAGACAAATGAAGGATTGAAAGGCACCGGAGAGCAGAGCCAGAATGATGGCCAACGTTGGGAACGGACAGATACTCTAAGAAGAAGAAGATCAGTAGGAAGACCACGAAAACGATGAAATGACAACTTACTATAGGAAAATTGTTTAACAGACAGTCATGTTTACGTAAAACGAAGAAGAAAAAGAAAATAAATAATATTTTAGTATGTTATTGTTTTGTAGTTTGAGAATGATTTTAAATCAAAATGTCAAATAAACTTATTTTAAAGTAAAATTGTGACTTAGTCTCTCCAAAAATAGTAAATTGCATACAACAAGAATTACCACTAGTAAAGAGCTTCAAAATACACTTACGAAATTGACACCACCTGAGAGAACTTCATTGCAATAACATTAGAATAACTACTGTTTGAATATCTAGATTTGAGATGTATGTAATTAACATAAAACATAATATAAAATTTATAGGATATTGTTTGTATAATATTATTTTAGATATTTCCACCTACTATAGCATTTTATGTGGTTTCTTTCACCTTAATTATGCATAATTTTAAAATAAGTTCTCAAAATTTGAACGGCGGTACAATATGCTAATTTTTAATCATTTGGTTATGCGAACAGTCAAAATGCGTATGAATGTTACAATCAGTATTAAAATTCGAATAATCAATTATAATCCGTTCACAAGTCGTTGAGAGCACCAAATGTGCCTCAAAGTCATAAGATGGTAAAATTTGTATCATCATAGGCATTCCGGAGGTGATTATTCATTAAAATTAACGCGTTTGAGATTTATTTTCCTTTTCAAAATGTTTATCAATATTAATAATGTTTTAATACTAATATATTTAGCAAAAAACAATTAAAACTTTCACAGCTAATTTTAAAACAATCAAGTTACTTAATGAATAAAACCTAGACATTATTATCAAGCTCTTTAACGACATCTACGATACGGGCCAGATTCCAAAAGATTGGCTTCGATCTACATTTATCGCCCTACCAAAAACACCACGTGCGAACTTCTGCAAGGACCACCGACTAATAAGCCTAATGAGTCACTTTTTAAAACTTTTCCTGAGAATACTTCACACTAGATTGTTTAAGAAATGTGAAGAGGTCAGTGGATGGAGTCAGTTTGGTTTCAAAAATGGACTTGGCACGAGAGAAGCGATCTTTAGTATGCAAACATTGATACAGAATTGTTTAGATCAAAGAAAGGATGTTTTTATCTGTTTCATCGATTACGAGAAAGCATTCGATAATGTAAAACATGAATTGATGATAAAATACCTACAAGAGTTGGGATTGGATGCAAAGGATATAAGAATCATCGCCAATCTGTATTGGAATCAGACAGCAACAGTACGTCTTCAAAATTCCAACGAAACAGAAGATTTCTCCATTAAAAAAGGAGTAAGGCAAGGTTGTATACTGTCCCCAATGCTGTTCAATTTATACGTAGAAAAAGCCTTCGCAGAAGCAGTGGAAGACTCTAATAAGGGTATTAAAGTTAACGGCATATTTATTAATAACATCAGGTATGCCGATGATACAGCCATAGTGGCAGATAACATCGAAGATCTTCAATGCCTTTTAAATGATCTAACTCTTGCAAGTGAAGCTCGGGGTTTGAAAATAAATATCAAGAAGACAAAATCAATGATTATAAGTAGAAATGATTACCCCAACGCAAAGATATATGTCTCTGGAGAAGAAATCGAACAAGTCAGGCAATTCAAATACTTGGGATGTTTGCTGAATGAGGGTTGGGACCCCGAGAATGAAATAAAGAGCAGAGTTGAACAAGCCAGAAATGCTTTTTTGAGGCTTCGTAAGTTTCTGACTGATCGCAAATTGGACTTCAACCTCCGATACAAGATGCTTAAGTGTTACGTGTGGCCTGTTCTCCTGTACGGAATGGAAGCATGGACGTTAAAGGCCAGTTCCATTAACAAACTTGAAGTGTTTGAAATGTGGTGCCTGCGTCGAATGCTCAGAATATCATGGACGGACAGGGTCAGAAATGAGGAAGTACTCAGAAGAGCGGGCTTACAGGATAGGGAACTTTTTAATTATGTAAAAAGTAAGAAGACTGCATACTTGGGGCACATTATACGAGGAGAACGATACACTTTTCAGCAACTGATACTCGAAGGGAAGATAGAGGGTAGGAGAGGTCTCGGACGTAAAAAAATGTCATGGCTGCGCAATATTCGACAATGGACAGGAATCCACAGCTATGAAATGCTTCGCAATGCTGCTAAAAACAGAATTATTTAATCCAGAATATTTAACATCTCACCTGACAAGACGATGTACGGTGGACGCCTACGCAGAAATGCACGGCACCTTAAGAAGAAGAAGCTAATTTTGGTTATTATATTATATTAATAAAAATAAGAATTTAACCATTAACAATTTTATAAATAAGAATACCTTATCTCTTTGGATATTTTAATACTTTAATACTAATCTTCTATTCGTTGCAAGAAAATTAGGATGGGACTCCCCAGATCAGTGTTTTTGCGTCTACGGCAGTAATTAGCGTCTCGAATATTTCTTTTGCGAATTATATGCAGTGCGTGAGTGATTTTTTATTCCATACACCTACGAACATATACGTACCTTTCGCTCTTGCTCGTTTTGTTGGATTGTTTGTGATGGCTTCATCATCAACATCATCAAGTGTTATACCGGTACTGTTGCGTACAGTCAGTAAGTCTGACTACGAGAGAAGACTATTGTCCTGAATGTTCACGATGCTCTGGTTTCTCAGAATCCCACAAACACTGTTCGCAACATAGTCGAAAGTTGTGCCAAGATGACTAAGACCGAAGATCACTTTTGATTGACCGGGCGGAGATAATATGTTGGAGAAGAAATTATCTAAGATCCATACGAAAATTCCGAGCTGAAGGAAGGCCAATCTTCTACAAGGATGAAACGTGGGTAAACTCAGGTCATACTCTAAAAAAATTTGGCCAGATAAAAATATATTAAGCTCCAGGGAAGCCTTTATGGAAGGTTGGTCTACTGGTATCTCCTCACCTTCTGGTAAAGCTAGTAGATTAATAATTTCTCACATTGGCAGTGAAAAAGGATTTTTTAAGCATGGTTTGTTGGAATTTCAATCCAAAAGTACAAAAGACTGTCACGAGGAGATGACAGCTAATTTTTTCGAAGAGTATTTTGAGCAGACAATTAAACAATACCACCAAATTCAATTATAGTAATAGATAATGCACCTTATTATTCACGACTAGTAGAACGATTTCCAACGACTGCATGGAAGAAACAGGATATTCTTGACTGGCTGCGGAATAAGTATCTGCCTTACGAAGATGGAATGGTAAAAGCAGAACTATCAAAAATCTTATATACTCTTCAGTTTGGTAATGACCAGATAACATTAAGTAGGGTAAAATCAAAGGTAGAAAAAGCATAGGAAGACGTAAAATCTCGTGGCTACGCAATCTCCGTGAATGATTTGGATGCAGTTTAATTGAACTATTCAGGCGCGTAACCAACAAAATTATAATTGCCAGAATGATTTCCAATCTCCGATAGGAGTGGAACTTGAAGAAGAAGAAGGAAAGCTGGTACTATTAGCACAGGCGAGCACAGAGAACGCTTTCGCATTAATCAGAATTGGCAGCATCACGTCGGAGGAATTCCTTATTGACACCGGGCTTAGACAAGGAATTCCTCTCGCCTCCCTATTATTTAATTTTGCACCGGAACATGCGATAAGGAAAGCTCAACCACAACCTTGCCGCCCAAGGATCAAAAATATTATTGGTGTTTGCGGATGACTGTTCGCCTTATTCGAAAATGGAGCCAAGGAAGTTGGTCTGAAGGTTAACAAGGACAAGACCAAGTACATGGTGGTTACGAGGAGCCCAGAGCCAAGGGTTAGACAAAATGTAACAATCAATGAATACAACTTTGAAGTCGTCAAAGAATTTAACTACCTGGAAACGGTAATAACACCTGAAAATAAATATGAAAAGGACGTGGCAGCCAGGATCATTGCAGGAAACAGGGCATATAAATCATTAATGACCGTAATTACATCAAAAATACTCTCAATGCCAGCAAAGATAAGAGTGTATAAGACAATAATTCGTCCCACAATAACGTATGGAAGCGAGACATGTACTCTGAACCAGCGAGAAACGACAAAGTTACTGGTACTGGAAAGAAAGATACTGCGGACTATATATAAGTCTTGCAGGGAGGAGACAACAGGATAATGGAGAAGAAGATACAATGATGAACTCCAGACAGTATATGGAGATGAAAACATAGTACAATACGTTAAAGCAAACCGAATAAGATGCGCGGGCCATGTGCTAAGATCGAGTGACGAAAGACTCCTGAAAGTCACATTCTGGGAAAGGCCCGATGGCAGAAGGTCAGTTGACCGCCCAAGAAAGAGATGGAAGGACGCAGTAGCCAGTGATCTACGCAACATGGGAATACAGCAATGGAAAAATAGCTGCTCAGTACCGACAACAATGGAGGAAAATAGTAAACGCATTCACATAGGTAGAGCCAAATGATAATGCTTATGATGAAGGCATCTTTAAGTTTATCCCATAAGCTCTCAATTTTTTTTATTTGATTATTCCTTTGGTTGTATCTAATTTAATATTAAGATATTGGCATATACGTGCTTTAGGTTTCGTTTTTTTTTTAGCTATTTGGGTCCTTAGCAAAGAAAGTAATGTTACGTATTTAAGAGTAAATTGGATTATATTAGAGACCTTTTCTTTTACACATACTATTTAAAAGTTTAAGGAAAAAATACGCAACGTCAAATCTTAGCAACTATTTTGATTGAAAATAAAGAGGAATATGTTTTTAAATAAAAAGGTAATTTGTATTATATTTTATTACTCAAAACCTAAACTTACAAATTATAATCATTATTGTCTTAATTCCTTCTGTGACTTGGTTATATAGCGTGATAAGGAACTAGATATCTCCTCCTTTGGAGGTAAACTTCTTAAATAATTACGACCTACATGTAAAAATTGTAAATTTGGTACAGTTCCAAACATCGGTTCAAGAGTTTGAAGGTTATTATTATCTAGATACAATACCTGTAAATTAGGTAACTTTTTAAAAGTTGATTTATACACTTTATTAATTTGATTATTACTTAAGCTTAAAGTTTCAAGAGTTTCAGATGATAACAAAGGTCCTTTCCTTGGTACGAAAACTCGGTTATCTGACAGAAGAAGCTTTTTTATATTTGGAGCATATTTGTATATTTTGGAAGGTAGCCTATGGATGAAATTAAATGTGAGATCCACCAGTTCAACTTTTGGCAAAGATTTTACAATAACTATAGGGAATCTGGTTAAGTTGCATTGATCTGAGTAAAGGGTAT